TCACATGTGAAGCTGGTGATGCTGAAGCACGTGCAGTCGTACTATTTTTAACTTACGTCAGATCCACTGATAAACGAATGAGTATCGCTTTTTTTCTCTATCATGATATTTTAGAATAATAATTCTTTATTAATGAGAACGGGAAGTTCAAATGCTTTAGTACTTTAGTAATTATTATTATATCAAATGGCAGGCATCACGATAGTTATCATTAGCCCTTTAGTTGACTTCAGGCTTCACAGAGGGAGAGGAATATCAAAGCGAAAAAAGTCGAGGGGGGAGGCAGAAGAGTGTGACATATAGTGAGGTGATGGTAGTTTGAAGTCAGAAGTCAACTACCGATTGGTAGACTTTTTGCCGCTTGAGTATACGTTGCCCAGGGTGCGCCACGTGGAGGTAAGTCTATCGCACACCCCGCACATTAGTAATTTAAAGTCTAAGGCGAGTAAATGTCATTCGATGCGCTGACCTTCAGTTGATTTACGTTTTGAAATTTTCTTCTAAAAAGAATGACACTAAGCATTTAAAATTTCTGATTATTAATGAGAGTAAGTGCAATTGCCATTCATTATCTGGTGTTATGAAAGGCCACAAAATTGGTGCTGTCCTGACACAACAAACGAGGCCGCATGTGTTTGCATGTTCCCCTACACAGTTGTTTAAACAACTCTATATGAGGCCAAAATGACAAGATTTATCTTGCGCACGTTAGTATGAACCAGAAGGTACGATTGTGCGTTCAGAGGCCTTCTCAGCCAACCCCGCTGATTGACATTCCGCCAGAGTGAATGCATTTAAAAACGGATCAACCTTGCAATATTCCATAGATGCAATAAACGCACTCAACTCCACTCCACTTCATACATTTTCTGTGTTCTCACTGCTCTGAGCTAAACCTAACTAGTCGTGGGATCAAAAATTGATCTAGTTAGATGCCCTACTTTTGAACTTGTCCACAGCCTACTCACCTTCTTAGGGGACTACCATAGTTTATAAGTGCCTAATTGTCGAAATGTCCGCTGTAGTTAAACACTTGAGATTTGATGTTACATTTCATTAGGAAAATTAGTTAGCCCAGTACACACTGCTTCTCCTTTGCATCTACTGAGTAAGGAGAAGCATGCGATTGGTTCCAATTCGACATGATTTTTCCATTGCTTAGTTTACATGGTTAACCATATAAATCCATCCATGTATTATCATCTGGTGCTTAAATTTGATCCCTGAAAAAGAACACAGTAGCATACTATCCTTCGACATTACGTAAAATCCAAGGATTCGTAGATAACCACAAGGAAAAAAACCAAGCGCTCTAGGGGTTATAAATTATCTGAATGGGATATTTCAGATGTCCAAATCAGAATTCATTGAAAACTTCTGTGGTCCAACTTCGTTCCTCAGGCGGTATCTTTTGCAATGTGCTTTTCCCAGCTAATTATGAATTATGCACAATCACTGGAATATTACCCGAATATCAGATCAATCGCTTACTTCAAAGTTATATAAAAGGCACCCTTCCTTGATAAAATGACGAGAAGCCTTTATCGAGTGGTAAGTCTACCGTCTTTATAAGCTACTGTCGCATATTGGACTATATATTTTACATTTACCCCCAAACCCCATCTTGGGGATATAGTCCATTCTCAAATAACAAACACCATGAAAACTGCTCATCGACTTATCCAAAGAGCACCAATTTAATCTCAATGAAGAAAATTAGTGACAACATCCCCCCCCCCAACGCAACAATAGCAGCCATTTCTTTGGGAAGGGGGGCTAATTAAATTATTTATTAGGGAAAAAAAAGACAAACCATGGTTAGAGGGAAGAAACATGAAGAAAGGGGGTGGGGGGAAGGGAAGGAAGTTTATCGAGTGAAATAAACCACAATCTTGAAACAGCTTCCATTTAGAAACACAAACGCAGGAATTAAAGACGTTGCACAGAAAGACAGAGAGAGAGAGAGGCAGAAACAGAAGAGCGATCATTCGTCAGTTCAAGGTGAAGATTTGGTGGCGGTAGCGACACAGTGGTATTGGTGGCAATGCGACTATTTATTCGAGAATGGATCAAATAAATAATGCGCATCCGCTAAGCCGTCTAAACACTTCTACTTCACTTCATATATGTATATTTATATATATACATATATCTTATACTGACACAAAGGGAATCAATTTCCAGGTACACGCATCTCGTGAATTCAAGAGAGCAGGATGCTATTATTTTTTCTCTTTTCACTAACTCAAACTCAAGTGTGAAATGGTGGATTTTGACTATCGTTGTTGACACCATTATTGCTGTTGTTGCTCATTCTGATATTGTTTGGCTGGTTTGGTGGAGAGTAGTATGAGGCATCCTGTTGATAATAGCCTGTGTTATTCATCATGGGCCTGAAAGAAAGTTAAAAAAGGGAGCGTTTAAATGCATAGTTAAGACAATTACGCCTGAAAGTCAAAACAGGCTAAAATCAAGAACATTTACCAGCGAGTGCATCAGATATGTTATAATTAGAAGACTTTGGGTTCAAGCCTTCAAATCAACGAAAGCTATGGCCACTTCAGAGCTGTCAAGAGAAGAGATAGGTCCAAAAAACCATCCTCTCCAATGTCTTGGCCATTAACCAACCGTTTAAGAGAGATAATATGATCTACGCAAACTGAACACAATTTATTACTCTTGAGGTTAAATTATTACACCTGAGATGAATCCCACTAATTCAGCTACAAATTTTAGGCACCTCCGAATGGATAAGTTGAAGTCACTCTTCACTCTACCATTGTGTCTGTCTTTTCTACATCCCTCGAATATTTTTGGAACTTTGATTTCACTCTCCTCCCTTTGAAGCCCGAAGTCAACTTAAAGGCTATAATGACAACTATCAAAGCGCCTGCCATTTGATACAAATGAATGCATTAAAAAGTAATTGAAGTTCGATCAATGTAGAAACAAAACTAAAGTTGTGTTTAGTACTTCCACATTACAATTACAAGTGTGTGCGATAGACTTACCTCCACGTGGTGCACCAAGGGCAACGTATACTCTTACGGCAAAAAAGTCTATTAACCGACAGTTGACTTCTGACTTCAAACCACCATCACCCCACTGTAGGTCATATTCGACTACTTCCACATTACTCACCTTACCTTTTCTCTGCCTTTGTGTCTGTCTCTTTTACATCTTTAAAATCACTCTTCAGTTCCCCCCTCCCTCTCGACTTTTTTCGATATGATGTTTCTCTCCCTCTGTGAAGCCCATTGCCAGCTAAAGGGCTAATGATAACTATCATAAAGCCTGCCATTTGGTATAAATATTCCAATTACAAGAATAAATGCACATTAGAACAAAGAGCAGCGCAAGTAAACTAGAGAGCAGAGAGCCGGTAAAATCCAGCTATTCAATCCAAGCCTTACCATTGAGGTTGATGAGAATACGCAGGAGCATAAGGTACAATTCCGAAAGAACTAAATGAAAACATCAATTTCGCAGATAAGTAAGACGTTTACTAAGAATTTGAGGGGAGAACAAACACCAAACCTGATTTTGCATTGGCTAAAACGGCAATCAAGAGGATCATGTTCTCTCTAACAGTAAATATAAGTACTCTGCACTCTCAATAGAAGTGGAACGACTAACACATTGACATATAGCAAAAAATATAAAACTATACTAAGGAAAATCAATTTTGCTACCAAACAGCAAAGATGGTGTTTAAAAATAGGGGCTACACACAATTACGAGTAGAAGACAGGTAGCTAGCTGTAAAGGCCGTATCATCTAAACTTACTCATAGGGAACGTGGTTATCATAATATCCAAAAGGATTAGGAGAGCAATCGTGTCTGTAAAAGTTGAAAGTGGTTGGTTAAAACGTCCATGTATAAATCAAGCACATCGATCCGAAGGCGCACACAGTGGTATGCCAGTGAAGCCCATGAAGTCAAAATTAAATAACTCATTTTATCATTGAATTCATAAATATCAAATCCGTGAATGATGAAAAAATTGCCCGCTAATTGCTTTTAGTAAATCCTTATTTGAAACTGGGGTGTGCGATAGACTTACTTCCACGCGGTGCACCCTGGGAAACGTGTACTCATACGGCAAAGACTATAAACCGACAGTTGACTTCTCACTTCAAACTACCATCACCCCCACTGTAGGTCATATTCGACCACTCCCATAGTACTCATCTTACCTTATCTCTGCCTTTGTGTCTGTCTGTCTCTTTTACATCTGTGAATCATTATTCTCTCCCCCATCTCTCGACTTTTTGTCACTTTGATGGTCCTCCTCCTCTCTGTGAAGCCCGAAGTCAACTAAAGGGCTAATTAAAACTATCAAAATGCCTGCCATTTGAAATAAATAAATTATTTGAAACTAAATGATGGAATATCTCCGATGAACTGGAGTTAGTACACAAACAAAGCTAGATATTGAACACCATTAAGGCCACTGGTAAGACCGCGAACCGTAAGGCCAACTTTTGACCTCAATNTGAGGCGAGTACTGTGGAAGTAGCCGAATATGACATGCAGCGGGGTGTTGGTGGTTAGAAGTCAGAAGTCA